ATCCTTTGTGTTAGCGGCACCATTCCCTCTCATCCACCTTATTGCAGGGGTGGGCCCCTCTCAGGTCTGGACCGGGGCCCAACTGCCCCCCATACCCCTTGAAGCCCCGCCCATGGGAATTCAGAAGTGCTCAATGTCCTCAACAATAGGAGCCTACAGCTTGGTTTATGCTTGACGCATTTACTTTCCGCGCGGTGATGCGGCTCGCGGATGGAACGCGCTTAACAACTCGCAGCGTTTATGGTTTGTGCGGCACGTCTCTGCGGTGAGCCAATATTCTCCCAAACTGTAGGGGGCAGCATGGAGCTCTACAGCATGCATCCAACACTACACCATAGTAGAAGTAGAAATTACTGTTTACAACATGGCATTTCAGCATTTTTAACAGCGTCCTCGTCTTTTCCAACAGTGCGAGCTATTTCTGTCCAAGAATTATTAACAACATGTTGATCGCGGTGATCTCTGAGAGCTGAATCATACAAATGTCTGTATTTACAAACCTCTGCCATACTAGTTCTTGCCAGTCCGCCATGTTTTTCCACGTTCGTCCGTCCGTCCGCATGATTAGAAATTTTCCGAGGTGCGCGGTGCGGAAATTCTGGGCCGTGCGGAGGTGCGGTGGAGGGGCGTGGTTGTTAAAATGAAGCAAAATGACGCAACTTTTCCGCGCGGAGCCGTGCGGACCTCGCGGACGCGTCAAGCATAAACCAATCTTAAGTCACGCCCACCTACTTCTGCACAACGGGTCCCCGGAAGAACGAAAAAAATGACTGCAAGTCACTGGGGCTAAAAATGCAATTTTATAATTCCGCTTGTTTTGTGCCATGGATTTCACATATGATGTCCGAGAATTGTAAAGATGCATTTTGATACCAAGAAGTCGCTTATTTTCGAAAAGGGGGAAACTCTATTCTAGGTTTTGTGTGAAAATAAGTCCAGGACTACAAATATGCTTCACGAAAGTGACGTCATCGAACCAGACACGGAGAAAACTGAGGAAAAATTACTGTAAGTTCCGCAAGCTTCCCACAGGAGGAAAGAACTTCCATAAATCTGGTCATGCGGTAAGTAGCAGCTACGTTGGGGAGAGGAGATTATGTGGTGACACCATATATGAGACGTGCCGATTTCTAGCTAGTAGTCATGCTAATTACGAACTTTTACAAGCTAATAAATCTCAAAGTACGTAACTGGCATGGTCGAAACACCCATCAATAGTTTTCATTTAAATTGCAGTACAACATATGTGCGATCCAGGGCGTAAGGCGAAGCGGATTAGAAAATAGCGTTTTTAGCCCCGTTAATTTGCATTAATTTTTTTCTTTCTTCCGGGGACCCGTGATGCGGAAGTAGACTTAGGCTCCCTATACTAAAGCCACACTGTTATTAAAGATAGGGATTTTATTTTTGGAATTGTCTGTAACGTTCTGTAGAAAATCCTGTTTAGCTGGATGACACGCAGCCGGAGACTGAGGCCAAAGTGAGGGTTTTGAAAATGTTCCTTCCCCTTTGAGGAAGAAGAGCTGGGAAGTGTTAATGACAGTGCTTTTTTATCTTTTCAGCTTTGTTCCTGTTAGTGGTCTGCTTAATGATGTATGCTTTTGGGAGGTGTGCTCCTGACGTAGCCAATCTGTTTCAAAATGCACAAACTCGTAGATCTGTTGTGTGTGTGTGTTTGTACAACATGATTTGAGCTTGAAAATTGTGTGTGAGTGTGAGTACAGTAGAATGTGAGAAGTTGCAAACCAACACGCACAAAATTGTGACGATACATATGTACTTGTATGAAACATTCACATGAATGTGACATAAAATAAAGTTTTGTGTAACGTTTTACGTCTGTGAGCACAAGTCTACAGATGCTCGGCTCCTCTCTTACTAGTGCACAGTTCAGCTCTCGCACGGGTGCTTCCACAACAGCCTCCGCTGTCTTCCGGGTGTTTAGCACCAGGTTGTTGTGGCTGCACCAGGTCACTAGCCTTTCGACCTCCATTGTGTAGGGGAGGGAACACAAACCTGAGAGGAACTGGTGCTGATGGTCCACAGGCCTGAAACATATTTCCCCAGCCTCACTTGCTGCTTCCTGTCCGTCAGGTCTGGGAGGATTGTGTTGAAGACAGAGCAGAAGTACACAAACAAAATCCTGGCGTAGGTACCTGGGGAGTCCATATGCTGCAGGATAAAGTGCAGAGCCATGGTGATTGCATCATCTACAAACCTGTTGGCTCTGTTGGAAAACTGCAGGAGGTCCAGGAGGGGGGCTGTGAAGGTCTTGAGGTGGGGGAGAACCAGGTGCTCAGATGACTTGATGACCACAGGAATGCAACGTTGTCTGAGCAGCATCTGCTGTAGAACAGAACAGGTTCTGAGCATTCCTCCAAATCACCCTGATTCCAGTAAGTGATCCTGAAGCCGTCCTGCAGCTGGGACAGTGCTTCCTCAAGCTAAGTAATACAAGCTACAAACGTGAAATAAACTCCGTTTGATCAGTGTTTGGTTTCAGGAATCATATGCCTCAAATGAGCCATTTCAAAAGGTTCCTTAATGTGACATCACACAAAAGAACATTGGCCTGTATCCACCCTCTACCTGTCACCTCACACTGGAGGAGCAGCGGCTCTACTCCAAGAACCTTCCAAATATCTGAGCTTCTCAGCTTATAGCAGCCAATCATGGGACGAGTGAGTGTGGCCAGAAACAGCTCGTTTTCCCTAAAGTGACGAAGTCCTGCAACAGCTCGTTCTGAAAGGTATCGAAACTGTCAAGAGTAAAGCTGCTGAAGCTTCATGTGGATTTTAATCAGAACTTGAAGCACATTTGGGGGGGCACAACTAATTTCTGAAGAGTCTTAATTTTCAGTTGAAGCAATCTCACTGTATGTCATAAATTTTCATAAACAGAGACAGAAGCAGGCTAACAGTTTATGTATAACAGTTAAACTGATCTCTCAAGCCATGAATCACTCATTCTGATACTAAAACTTTGCATGAATCGTCTTCTGACCGAGTCCTCCAAACACACCCACATCACCCCACTTCTCCTCCAGCTTCACTGGCTGCCAATCATCTTCAGGGTTCATTTCAAGATCCTGGTTCTGGTCTATAGGGCCTTACATGGACAAGCACCATCTTACATTGGTGATCTTCTTAGTCCCTACACCCCCAGCAGGTCCCTGAGGTCCAGTGATCAAAGCCTACTGGTTTTGCAGCACCAGGCTAAAGACCAAAGGTGACAGATCATTTGCTGCTGTGGCCCCCAGACTCTGGAACTCTCCCCCCCTGAGCCTGAGATCAGTGGACTCAGTGGTCTCCTTTAAAAGGCAGCTGAAGACCCACTTGTTCAGGCTGGTTTTGGTGTGACCTTCATCACCCTCTCCTTGTTCTGCTTTTTTACTAATTCCTTCTTTCCCTGGATCCATTGATTTCCCTCTCTCTCATTCATTTTCTCTCTCCGTTTTTCCAAAATTTTTTTGTCAAAAATGTTTTTTCCCCTAATTTTTATATTTTTAACCTTTTCTTTCAAAACGGTGAATGCAGAGTGGAAGCCACCAGCTGTTTCTCATTACTGAATAAAGAACAGAGGATCCTTACATTTAAACAGACATTATATTTGCAGGTTATTTATTCTGATAATCATGTTTGTGGTCATTTACATCAGCCGCTCCTCAAAGACTTGCAGTGTTCTGGCAGGAGATCAGAAACAGCTACGATTGCAGACATCCATTTAAAAACTTGTGACTACCTTTGAACTCGTGACTTCCAGGCTTCTGTTTTCCAGTCAATAAATCACAACTCCCCGAAGATTAGTGGCGTTAGTATCCAGGTTTGCTGCCTCAACGCACTGATTTTTACTCCTTTTCCAGCTTCCTTGATCTCGCCTGCCTCATAAACTAAATCCACACAGCACGCTTAGCTTTGGTCCAAAACAATAACCAGACATGAGTTTAGGACAACAGAAGTGCCTTGTGACACATTAACACCACCTCTTGTGATGACGGGTGACTGAATGATTTACGGTGAGTCTGGGGTAGAGCATCGGTTTGGTACGACCAGCGCCTGATTGTTTTCCTACAATAGTGCACAGATGGAGCAAAAGCACGTAGGCATGCTAACATAGAGCACACACATGGACGTAATTTTTTTTTGGGGGGGGGGGGCATGTCCCCCCCACTTTTTCCAAAGTCAAGTTTTGACCCCTGCACTTTTTACCATCCAAAAACAATATTACGCTATATTAAATTGACACTGGTTGAGCTTTAGGACCAAGCAGAAAACAACAGTTTGTGTTGAAGCCGGTTTCCCATTAGAGCATACTGTAAAGATACACCCCGTCCCCCCCACTTCTAAAGTGAAAATTACGTCCATGAGCACACACATAAAGCAGAAGGGTTTATTCCATTCTAAAAGGTTAGAATCACAAACAGTTAACTCTGGGTCCATCAGCTGTGAGCGTTTGAGCGTGCACTGGTGAACACATGTGGTGCGCAGACCGTTTACCCCCGTAAGGACCAGGAATGTCCAGGTGCTCTCCTGAAACCTCACTCTCAACCAAACAGGAATCGCTGAAGAAGCTGGGAGAATATTAATGAAAAGGAAGCTAAATTGAGGGAAAGGAGGTGATTAATTCATCACGCATCTGTCAGCACATCTGGAAGCAGTTTACATTTGCTTTGAACTTCTCCGCCGTCCACGTTTCAGCAGAGGTGTCCCTCAGATTCTGAGCTCTGGAGTAAATCAACATATTTTAGGAGGACGTAGAAACCAGCCTGGATTTTCAGCCACTAATAGAAAAATACATCAGAGTCAGAGACTCCAAACGTAAAATCTGAGTTCTTGGTTGTTTTAAGGTATTATGATTTCATTTGATGTCTGATGCAAAACATTAAATTAATCTGTGTTAGAAAAAACTCAAACAGATTTAAATGTGTGACGTTTTACCATCAAATTCCTCACAAATAAATACAACACCGCCCTCTAGAGGCTCGAAATGATGAACCAATGTTTGTGGTCAAAGTTAAATAGTACTTCATTTATATTAATTTTGAAATATAGCAGCAGCATACAGTTACACGTGTTTTACTAACTAAATATCTCAGTCACATCGTTCAAACCTGTTTCCACTCTTAGATGCACTTCAGGGAGATTACTGATCTTTTTAGATCTTGCCTTTACAAACTAAATGAGTGTATCTACTGCTGAAACACAATAAAACAGATCAAGGCAGCTTGTGAACTAATAAACATCAGAATCAGAATCAGACCCTTAAAGTTATTATATAAAATGTCTCAAAACTGTCATGTTTACTAAATAAATAAAGTTATGAACGATTCAAGATGATGATTCTGCACTTTGGTGTTGCAGGGGAACCCAACTGAACGTCTTCACTGGATCTGATGAAATCTACCCTAAAGGTGAAGATTCAGCATCATCAGGCCCTAAAATGTGTTTTAGTGACGTCATCTTGACGCGAAGAGGAGTGTATTTAAAAACGACGACACTGAGGTTTACGTGACAGAGTTGGTTTTTGGTCTGTACTGCAAGGCGAGCTGAGGGTTAGGAGGAGACAGAGAGAACGATGAAGAGTGAAGGGGAGGAAACGTGTTGGGTTTGAGGACATCGTCTCAGTGGAGGATCTCAATCAGCAGCCGCTTAAAGTCTCCGCTACACTCAGAGTCCAGAGCGTCTTTCAAAGTCACATCGTACTTCTCCAGGTACATGTCCTTCACTGTGTCCAGGTCGATCTGAAGGGGGAAATAACAAAGTTATTTACTAATATGGTAAGATGGTGAATGGTCTGTATTTATGTTTATGTTTATTTATTTAGCAGACGCTTTTATCCAAAGCGACTTACAATTTATAACCTATAGGGCATGTTGTGATCTGTGGGGGAGACCGGAGTACCCGGGGGAAACCCACGCATGCATGGGGAGAACACGCAACTCCACGCACGAAGGCCGCAGCCGAGTTTCGAACCTGCAACCTTCGTGCTGCGAGGCGACAGTGCTAACAACTGCACCACCATGCAGTATTTATATGGTGCCTTCTAGAGACACCCCCCCCCCCCCCCCAGGTGCATTACAACAACCCATTAGTCATTCACACACTGGCGGTGTTGAGCTGCAATGTAGCCACAGCTGCCCTGAGGCGCACTGGCAGGAGTGAAGCTGTCAATCGGCCAAACACCGGTTTCTCCAACCACCCAGGAGGGTGTCTTGCCCAAGGACCCTACGGCTGTGACGGTTTTAGTGGGCCTCAAACCTGCAACCCTCCTGTTAGGTGCGGGTTGCAGACACTGCCCCTGTGTCTGTGGACACTGTGGTGGTCGGATGGTGGACAGCTAAATGTGTCTTGACTTTGAAATCTTTATTTAACTAGTAAATTATTTACAAAAGCCACAATAAAAACTTAATATTAATAATTTAATGCAATTGTTAAAGATAGGCGTTAAACGCTGGAGAGCGAAGAGCCTCTACAGCAGATTTCTACTTTTTACCGACTTGATTCTTAGACATTGTTCTTATCTCTTCACCACCTGGAAATGGAGCTTACTATGCACAGACTATTCCTTCCCAGAAGGTAACTCCAAGACCAGTGAACAAAGAACCGTGTTGGCGTGACTCCTTGGGTACCCAACAAGGTGGGAAGTCATTTTCATGAATGCGGAACTGGGGACAAGCTAAAAGAAAGTGACTAGCAAGGAAGTGGTGTTTCGAACCTACTGCGCCTTTTGTGAGGGGATCAACAAGATCGACCAACTGGCCAAGCGGGGGAAAAAACGTCAGGACCTACAGAGAACGAACACCATGCCAAATGCTAACGTGGAGCTACCTGACGTTAGCTCAGTCAGAGTGATTAGGCACATGTAGAGGATGATCCCTCTGTGGGAATACACAAATGCCCAACACTGGACATTATGCAAGACAGGGACAACAATGCACCCCTGCCCACAGTTTAGAAACACCATGTGGTTATTCTCGACCAGGAAAGGGTGGCTTGCCAACTCCGGGTCAGAGGAGAGATCCTACCTTAAGTGGAGGAGTTTAAGTATCTCGGGGTCTTGTTCACGAGTGAGGGTAGGAGGGATCGGGAGATCGACAGGCGGATTGGTTCGGCGTCTGCAGTGATGCGGACACTGAGCCGATCTGTCGTGGTGAAGAGGGAGCTGAGCCAGAAAGCCAGGCTCTCGATTTACCGGTCGATCATACGTCCCAATCCTCACCTATGGTCATGAGCTTTGGGTAATGACCGAAAGAACGAGATCGCAGATACAAGCGGCCGAAATGAGTTTCCTCCGTAGGGTGGCCGGGCTCAGCCTTAGAGATAGGGTGAGGAGCTCGGACATTCGGGAGGGACTCGGAGTAGAACCGCTGCTCCTCCGGATCGAAAGGAGTCAGTTGAGGTGGTTTTGGCATCTGGTCAGGATGCCTCCTGGACGCCTCCCTGGGGAGGTGTTTCTGGCATGTCCTGCTGGCAGGAGGCCCCCGGGTCGACCCAGGACACGTTGGAGAGGTTACATCTCCAATCTGGTCCGGGAACGCCTTGGGGTCCTGCCGGAGGAGCTGGTGGAGGTGGCCGGGGAGAGGACGGTCTGGAGCTCCCGCCCCCGCGACCCGGACAAGCGGAGGAAGACGACGACGACATGTGGTTATTACTCATGAGAGCACGCAGCATTGCCTTTAACAGGATTAGTACATTCCTCAAACTCCTGCTTCAATGAATCATGAACAAGTCCTATGCCTCCTTTTAGTACCACAGGACATTTGTGACAGTTGTACCACATTTTACCCAATGAAAGGTCATCAATAATTTTATTTTATTGTTTTATTGACATTAGCCTAAAAATAGATGCAGAAGTTCAGGAATCGAAAAGTTAAAACACGAGATAGACCCAAGTGTTGCTCCTGCAACTGTTTATCCAACCTGCAATCAACACACACACACACACACACACACACACGCACACACGCACACACACACACACACACACACACACACACACACAAACCTCAGAGCGGCCCACGATGATCCGAACAAGCGTGTCCTCATCTGTCCCAAGTCCCTTCATCGCAGCGTTAAGGCGGCGAGCAAAATACAGCTGGGGGTTCTTAGCACACCTGACTGGGAGTAATATGGTTACTGCAGGTGAAAACACAAAAATCACTCCTGATTAATGAACCTCCTACTTACCAAGAGTAGTGTAGCAGTCCTTCAGAGTCCCGGTGGCTTCAGAGTCAATGGTGTCCAAAATGTCGGTTCCTGAAAGCTGAAGAGTTGAAGGCTGTGACAGGCGTGTCGGACATGGCACAAGCATTAAAACATACCGGTGTTTTGTAACACGTACAGACTCGTAGACCTTAAAGGTGGCCTGAAGCTGCAGGTAATTCCTGTGCGTGAGGATGTAGGTGAAAGTGGACTCGTCTGTCCCAAACCGGCCCTCTCCTGCCTGTATGGTGCACAAACACCAACACTTGTCACAGGTATCTGATTGTGGCTCTCACTCATATTAAACCAGGTTGATCTGAGGGGGGTTTCCATTTAGTTATGACGCATTTGTGTCATGGTCTGAGGTTAGTGGTCTTCATCCGGTAAACTACGTGAGCCTGTTTGCAGGTGGGCGGTGCCTTGGAGCATGCAGCTGGTTGATCAGGTATATAGGAGGGAGTGAATCCACAACAGCTCGCTGGGTGATTACTCATCCTTGGGTGATGGCTACACACCTTGGGTATTAACCTGAGCAACTCTACCAGCCACTAGACAAAGTTCTTCTTGTGATTTATCGAGCTCTCGAGTTAATGGCATTTGCTCTCCCTTTTAGGATTCTCTAAGCTGAGCTTCACCCCTCCAGCCATAACTCCAAGGAGCCGCCTCTCATTCACGATTACTCCTCCTCCTCCTCCGCCTCCCGACCAACCCGGTCCCACCGCTCAACCTCCACTGCCGGAAACCCTGTGTGTCCCTCCTGGACTTCTTCCTGAGCCTCTGGATTGCTCTGCCTGTTGGCCACTAACCTCAATCCCGACCTCCAACACCCCCTCTCGGACTCCTCGCCGTCTCCAAGAACCGTGAGCTACACATCCCCATCATACTCCCTCCCCTTCTGGCTGAAACTAAACTTGAATGTTTTTTCGACGGTGCCCGGTCCCGCCGCATGCTACTACCTCCACCTCCTTTGACGGTGCTCCCTCTGTTAATAAAATTTATTGTTTTAAACTTACCTGAGTTTGGTTGATTCTGCATGTCCTTGGTCAAAAGACTTCCGACACTCATGACAATCTGAGGTAGACTTGCTGGTCCTACATTGAGAAACATTTCCCTTTCCCACCTTTGACCATGTTAAATTCTTTCCTTGCCCCAAAGCAGTTTTTGTCTTTACATGAAAAAGGAAGAAAAAAATCTTTTTTTCACACGGTGCCTCACAAGGACAAAAGTTAAAAACAGTTCAAAGATTTTTAAAAATCATGGGAAAAAATAATTTGATTAATGAAAGGAGAAAATGGATAAGAGTGGGAAATCAGTTGATCCTGGGAAAGGTGGAATAGATAGACAGAGCAGAATGAGGAGAGGGTGGTGAAGAAGGTTTTTAAAGGAGACCACTGAGTCCATGGATCTCAGGCTCAGGGGGAGAGAGTTCCAGAGTCTGGAGGCCACAGCAGCAAATGATCTGTCACCTGTTTGTCCTGGGATCTGCTTTAGCCACTCTTCCAGTACTGCCCCGATTGCCCCGATGACCACGGGCCCCACCGATGTCCTCCCACTAAAGGCATTCTCAGGTTCTTCTTTGAGGCTCTGGTACTTTTCTAGTTTCTATCGTTCCTTTTTCCTGATGTTACCATCACTTGGTTTTGCCACATCAACCACAACGGCTGTCCTCTGTTGTCTGTCCACCACCAAAAGGTCCGGTTGATTCGCCATCACCATTCTGTCAGTCTGGATCTGGAAGTCCCACAGGAGCTTGGCCCTCTCGTTCTCTACCACCTTAGGGGGTGTTACCCACTTTGATCTTGATCTAGCCACTTGGTTGTGGTTTCCATGTATGCTCTCCTTGACAGTGTGTGTGTGTGTGTGTGTATATATATATATATATGTATATATATGTATATATATATATATATATATATATATATATATATATATATATATATATATATATATATATATATAATTCTAGAGCGGGGTGTCAAACTCATGTTAGCTCAGGGGCCACATTGATGGAAATCTAGTCCCAAGCGGGCCGGACCGGTAAATTAAAAACAACTTCAGATTATTTTCTTTGTTTTAATACAATCAATATAAAACAAGGCTGGAGCCTGAGGACCGTGTATCCAAAATAGTACAAGTACAACACCTGAAGTGTACTTGAAATTTTGAATTAAATAAATAAATAAAAAAAAAATTCCTTAGTGATTCAAAGAGCTTACAGATCACATGGCTAGATCAGTTTCATGCAGCACTTAAAGTATATTTGACTCATTTTACTTTACATCTTTTAGCTTTCACCGGAGCATCAACATCAGAAGTCACATCCTGAGTGGCGGCCGTCTTCAGGATGTGATTCAGGTTCTTGTGTGAGCCTTGAGCGCAGCTTTGTTTTATTTATACTCATTACAGAGAAAACTTGCTCACAAAGATAAGTTTATTTTCACTCTACATTCTAAAGTATGAAAATAAAGTTAACACAACCATCCCGCGGGCCGGATTGAACCCGTTTGCGGGCAGGATCCGGCCCGCGGGCTGTATATTTGACACCCCTGTTCTAGAGGGAATTAATCCCTGAGTGCAATGTCTGTTATTCACAACATTTTCAGTGTAAGTTATGTTTTATTACATTCCTTAATTATTTAGTCGTAGAGCTGCGTGTTTTGTTGTCGTGTTAGCAACCTGATGGCATGGGAGGATGATTTTAGATAATTTTAGAGAATGTTTTTCTGAATGTGTGTGCTTTCAGCTTTGTTGTGTTTTCACCGTTGGAATTAAGGAAGAACAGAGCCAGCTATCTAGAACAAAGCTCTTCACAGTTTTATCTGCTCTATGGATATGAGTTATGAAGTAGATCTTTAGTGATATTTTTATAAGAAAACACACCTCAAACAAAGACATGGCATCTTGTTCAGCCAAGCCCTCGTCCACCTCGTAGCCCTCATCCCTGCTCGCCTGTGAAGAGTCACATAGGAGAGGATCAAAGCTCATCGGATATGTGTATGTGTGTGTGAGTCTAGCTTTTAACAGGACCACCATCTGTTTCATATGAATAGGAAGTATCTCCAGCAGCTGTAAACATGAGTTACTGTGGGGTATTCGGCAGAAGGAAGGAAAAGCAGAGAAATGTGGGAGCAAAGCGCGGGAGATAACATGAAGGCCTGAGCGTGCCAAACTATGTGACAAATGTCCCCGTGGGTGAGCCCAGGCATCCAGAACAATGCTGCAAAAGTGTTATGAACGAAAGAAAACAAGTAACTATTCTTCTTCACAGTAAAGCCCTTCTCCAGATAGACGCATTTGGGTTTTTACCTGCAGGAGCGAGATCAGCAGGTTCCTGACATCTCCGCTGGTGTCGTCCTCCACATCTGCCTCCAGGTCGTGTTCATGCACTGAAAGGTACAAGCCACAAGTGGCACTAACTCACATAGAAACAAACAAGTTTACGGTTTACAGATGAATCTGAGTTGAGAGCCCACCCTGCAAATATGCCTCTTTGTAGCTCATGATGTCCTGGAGGAGAGAAGAGGAAGGTCAGTTAGGTGAACATCGTACCTAGCGAGTAAAAGATGACTTTACTTTGATTTTTCTTCAGGTGGAATCTCACGATGCGAGAGCAAATGAAAACACACCATCCTGATCAGCTTACCTGGTTTGTGGCGGTGCACAAGATCTCGACCAGCACAGCTTCGTCTGTTCCTGCCCCCTTCATGGCCTTTCTGAGCTCCTTGGCAAAGAAAGCGTGAGGTGTGTCCAACATAGCCACAATGGCATTCTCAAAACTTCCTGACAGCTCTTTCTTCAGGACTTCCTCCAGCTCCTGGCAGGACACAGCGATCCAAGGATTAGCCTTTTTGTGTCTGTACAAAGGTGTTGGACAGCTGTTGGACGGGTACTCACATCATCATACTTTTCAAAGTAAGCTTGTTTGATTTGAACACGCTGATCTGCAGAGCGATTGGCCAGGATTTGGATAATGATATCCTCATCTGTGCCTGGAGAACATGAAGCAGGCTTAGATCTTCTATTTTAAATGGTTAACTGGTTCTGACATGATGGCATTGATCTGACACCACGAGCAACTCACCTAAACCTTTGCAAGCTTTCCGAATGTCTTTTATGTCAGCTGTAACATCAAAGTCTTCAAATGGAACAATGGTTGGCTGGAGAATAAAACACGGACCAGATGCTGTTTATGTTAAATTGTAGTTTTAGTGCAGCAAGAGGAAACTTAAAACAATGTAAAAAATATTAAACCATTAGCTTCTGGAGTGGGCGGGGTTCTGGACGGATCTGCGTCCGTGCAGGAAAATGGATCCTGCAGGAAAAGGGTGCGGCCTGTCCTGAGAGCTGCTGAGTCACTGGACAGCAGCAGCCTCCTCTACTACCCCCCCCCCCCACCCACCCACCCACACACACACACACACACACACACACACACACACACACACACACACACACACACACACACACACACCCGCACGCGTGAACACACACACAAACACACACTCACTTGCAACTTTTAAATAGATAACTGTTAGGGATTTACTTTTCTGATTATTTGTTGAGGAGGCGGGGTAGTGGTAGGGTTAGGTTGAGGTTAAGGTTGGGGTTTCTTACCTGAACGTTGCCCATGGCTGAGGATCCCTGCTGGAAAGTGGAGGATGGGAGCTGTGTGTGCTGAGCGGGCTGATGCTGCTCCTGTGTGTGCTGCACTGTGCTGGGGTGATGGGCGTGACGCTTCTGGAGCAGGATGTGTTGGATGTGCAGAATCACTGCCTCCTACAGGAGGACGCACTGGAGGCTCCTCTCGCCAGACAGTGATGTCACAATGAAGTTAATTAAATCACTTTAACCCTCTGGAGGCAGTCGTTGCGGATTTGCAACTACCTACCTGGTTACTCCACATACGTTTGAGCATTTTTTAACTCAGAAGTACCCCCGAAGGACTCAGTTGTTCGTCCTTTTATCAAAACTTATTTTGAGCCTGAGAGGGTTAATAAAACTGAGCTTTGTCTTAGTATTTCATGTTTTTCTGTCGACAGACTCAGAGAGGCTAATATGGAGCACCGGGAAAGCGGGAATATCCCCTGGTGGACAAGTGCTGGTGTTCTTACCCCTTCTTCCCACCGGAGCCGTCAGCAGCACGTTACTACAGTGTCATATTGTGGCGGTTTTGGCTTTCCATATTTTGCTGCTTGGCCCTTCCCACGAGACGGAGAGAAGACGCGAAGCAGCAGGGGAGCAGCTGTCACCGACAGACGTGACTTCGTCAGTAAACACAACAACAAGCAGGAGAAAACTACAACATGGCTCCAAAAGGTTTGTGTTTTATGTTCTGTCCGTTTTATAATCGCCAATATGGACCTGAAAAACAAAGGAGACCGCTAGCTAGGTGATAATTTCTCACGGGGCCGCACAGTTGGTAACTTTTTTTAAGTAAAGCAACCGGAAGGCAGTACGTTCTTTATTCTGAAAATCTCAGGAGCTTCGCTCCGTTTCCGCGTCCTATTTCCTGTCTGTCCTTTCCCAAAAGTGTCTAACTTGACCCATTTCAGAGGCGTAACGCGTAGAAAATAGAACCGGGCGCTACTGTGTGTGTGTGTGTGTGTGTGTGTGTGTGTGTGTGTGTGTGTGTGTGTGTGTGTGTGTGTGTGTGGTGGTGGTGGGGGTGGGGGGGTGGGGTGGGGGGTCGATTTCACTACATATTATTAAATTATCAATAAGATGTGATATTCTATATATATGAATTGTCAATCTGATTGGTTTGTGAATATTTGATTTAATATTATCTTGGGTTCAAAGTACCTCAGGCAATTGCTCCTTCCCTCAGATACTTAGAGGTTATATCATATTATGAAGTAAAAATGTTAACCATTAATGATAATTTTGTGATATTACCAGTGTTGGGAGTAACGCCGTTTAAGTATAACGGCGTTTCTAACGGCGTTCTTTTATAGGTAACGGAATAATCTAATTAATTACTTTTCCCGCCGTTGCAACGCCGTTACCGTTACTGGGGACGGAACGTTGTGCGTTACTATGTGCTTGTCGAACGTTGAGCAACAGTGTGAGGCTTTCCGACCGCCACACTTCAGCTGCAGCCAGGGAGAGAGAGGTGTCGGTAACGCGCTTACAAACACGATGATGATTGGCCGGGTGGGCGGAGACCCTCACCGTCTCAGTCGCTGCATTCTGTAGACACAACGGGAATAACTCCGTTTAAAATAACCGCGTTAATAAAAAATATTTCTTTCTGTAACGAGCAAACTAATTAATTACGTCTTCTTTTATCAAAACGTCATTTCTGTTACTGATAAGGAAATGCGTGCGTTAAGCTGCGCGGTGTGTTGGAGCTGTCATCAGCTGATCAGGAACTATAGAGGCAGATGTTTAAGAGCATCACGGCCCGTGAAGAACGAGGAAGACGTGCCCGTGAAGAACGAGGAAGCCGTGATGAATAGTCTACGGCTGCAGACCCGCAGATTTGTTGCTGCAGCAGCGAATCTGCGGGTCTGCAGCCGTGCCCTTAGCATGACAGCGGGACGTCCCGAAGGTCCGCTCACCTGTTCACCGCTCAGACGTCCTGATCTTCTACCTTCCTAGATCATCCAGCTGTAACCTGTTCCTGATCATGTCTTTAGTCCCGCTGTAACACTGATGCATCAGTCTCAGACGGCATGGAGCTCAGGTGTTATTAGAACTACCTGTGTGTGTTCACCACCCAGCTTCAGCTCTTCTGTGGTTGGGTCTGACCCAAGTTAGTAAATGTGAGTCCTCCATCAGGCTTGTGCCTCTTCTGGTGTCATTTTAAAGGATATTTATTTATTTATTTAACCGTTACCAGATTAGCAACAGAAATGCTGCTAAAACACACAATTATGTGAAGATGGAAAAATTAGAATACTGTGCAAAATTACATTTATTTCTGTAATTTAGCTAGACTGAGAGACCATTTAAAGGCTCGGGAACCTTTACAGGTGTTTCTATTTGCAATTTTAAATTTTAGCTGATTGGGGTCTTGTTAAATATCACACAGTGACCTTTTAATAGTCTAGATAATTGTAATGTTCCTGTTAGTAGTTCCTCCTGTTAAGTGCTTATTTGTTTAAATTATTCAGGTTTATATAAAACATTTGGACAAATTTTATTATGTTCAGTCATTAGTCATTTATATTTCACTATTGTAGTAATTCTTGCATTCTTTAATGAAAAAAGTAACTAAGCAGTTACTTTTGTTGGTAATTAGTTACTTTTATGATCTTGTAACTCAGTTAGTAACTGAGTTACTTTTTTGACAAAGTAATCAGTAACTATAACTAATTACTTTTTTAAAGTAACATTCCCAACACTGGATATTACTGTGTTCAAACTCATAGATTAACATAATTAAAATAAACAAATGCTAATCTGGTGTAATTTAAGATCTGAAATAAATCATTACAGGAAACAATCATTTTAACCCATCATTCATAATTGTAATCATTATTAAAACACATTTGATTTAACATATTGTTCATTCAACAAGGTATGATTATATAACACTTATAAAAGTATAGAGTAATTTATAAGCCATGAAAGATAAGCTTTATGAAGATGTGGCACACAATACTCCAGGCAGACGAAACAGCCTGGACACTTCCGTGTGATGACCTTTGACCTTACAATGGACAAAAAACCAAATTATTGGCCTTTGGTACACCACATCTGTTTAGGTGTAATAAAATGCTTGAATGAAATATTTACATTTCAAAGCTAGCATTGGTGGCTAATGCCAGTAAGTCTGGGCCTCACATTAATAATGTTCAGCCATTTCGACTCTGAACTTAAGTTGTGTGTGTTGTCTGTCTGTGTGTTCTTATTTGGATGTTAATCGTGGAATTATTTGGACAAAGAGGGCTAGCTGTGGTACTGATTACAGATCATTAAACAAGTATCTGCATCATTTTAATCAGTAAATAAAATTATGTTTCTCTACATTATTTCACTGGTTGAATGGGGGAAAATACTGTGCATTTAACATAACGCTGCTTGGTCAGAGATGGGTTGAAATATGACGTGTTGGTGGGGCTGACTGTGCAACAAAACTCGAGCTAAGTAATCTGGCCAAAGGTAGAAGAGGTATCTGGGCCTGATGTAGGGTGACCAGATGTCCCGCATTTTCATTTGTCGTAAGCTCTCCAGCATGACAATGATGAGGCAGCTGTATCTGGTTAGCATGGTCTTTATTAACCACTCGAGCTTCAGAGAACTTACATTGTGTGACTTCCACATGAGAACCAGGAAGTCAGAGAGAGAGAGAGACTGACCTGCACCGGCGGTGCTAACAAAAGTACAGCAAGGTCGTTAGAACAAAAAGACCAAACTAATATCAAGACATCTACATCCCTTTCTTTAGTAAATCTTTAACCGGACGTAGAGTTGAATGAACACTAAATAAACAATAATCACAGCATCAAACGTGACATACGCTGATTCTCAAGACTACTTAAAATTGAAACTGAATGAAAAAAATAAACATGGCAATAAAATACCCTTTACAGATGACCAAGAGATGTGATTCTTATTGAAAATGACCACAAACTGAATATAACTTGAAGTATATGGACATTAACTAATGTTAGATCAGATATCAACCTGAATCATTAAAGTATTTTAATCAGTATCCAGTCAATCCTTGTATTTGGTTTACATACACGACCACAGCGTGTCCTGTCAGCACCATCATTTGTGGAAGGTTTTGGAGAATGCATAACATCGGCAGATTGTTCGTCACGAGTACGGTCCTTAAACAGTTCCGTATCATTACTTTGACTTTGACTTACAACCTGAAGCCCATCATAGTGATGATCAGTGTCTTTCTGAAGAGTAACAGGCTCAGACACAGGCTAAATGTATCTGAGATTTCTCCTGTTAATATTCCTAACCCTAACCCTTCTTGCAGCCAGGCTGCATCGAGACCATACTGTGATGTGCAATGAAACAAGAGGTTGTTACATTTTTAATTAATGAACCATAAGGCGTGGGATTCCATAGGAAATATAGAATCCCCCTTACGGATCGAGGGTTATTTTCATCAGAAGATTGGATCTTTTTATTGCAGGGATTAGATAACCGTTACATATTCACTCAGGCCCTGTCCACACGTAGCCGGGGATCTGCCAAAACGTAGGTATTTTTCTACGTTTTGGCCTGTCATCCACACGAAAACGGAGTTTTTTCACACGAAAACGGATCTTTTTAAAAACTCCGGCCAAAGTGAAAATCTGCGTTTTCTCCGTTTTGGGTGTCTGCGTGTGGACAGACAAAACCGGAGTTTTAAGGTCCGCAACGTCACTTTCCGCGACAAAAAATGCTGACATCACGTGTGCGACCTGTGTTTACACTAGCCCTCAGAGCTGCGCTCGCTTTATCAACTGTCCAAGCGCTTTTTGCTTGTTTTTGCAAGTGGAATTACTGCTCCTTGCGGAAGACCACAGACGAAGGACGAGGTTAAGAACGGGGGAAGTACTGCCGCCTACAGGTCTGGCATGTCCTTAACAACGTATTTATCCGGGTACGTGTGGACAGAGTTTTGTTTTAAAACGAGGTGGTGTGGATGCAAGTTTTTGGAGGGGCGGATATTCGTTTTCAAAAAAACCCGGCTACGTGTGGACTAGGCCTCAGAGACGACAGAATAGAGAGAGTCAAGTTTAAAAGTTAAGAATTTTATTACTAACAAATTAAACTAGGCTTACTTCAAAACTAAATGTATAGTGTAACTAAAAATGGATGAGACGGTGGATGGATGACGTGTGATGTAAATCAGAACCAGCAAATCCGAAGAAGCGATTAGTTCTGATGGGAACTGAAGATGTTGTTTTCCATTAAGCTTTGGTTAGCTTCAGAAACACATGCGACACCATTTGCCAGTCTACCCTGCCTTTGGTGGAAATCCTCTGTGGATCAGGAATATCGAGGTCCAGTGGACCCTCTCTGGAAACCGGTCCGGTAGGAGAAGCCGCGGTTCCGATCAGACCCGTCTTGAGTTACCTCCGGCACACGACACGTTATTGGCGTCTGGTCAGACCCAAGCCTGGGTCGGTGGAGCTTTTATTCTGAAAGGAGCTGTTGTTGCCTCTTGTTGTTATAGCGACTGGATTTTTCAGCTTGTCGTTGGTTCTTTCGGTTAAAGAGTAAAAGGTCGGGATGGGCCACTCCGTCGCTTGCTCTGGAACGCTTTGAACTGGCGTTAGAGCTGACGTGGCATAGTTCTATACCTCGGATGTTATGGTTTATTGTCGAATGAAAATTACCAAACACTGTCAGTGTCGCGTGCCCGTCCCATTTACCGGTTCCGTTAGAACTTATGAGACGGTGCATCCATCAGGGTTCGAGTGGGGGTGTCGGCGAGTTTAATCGTACTAGACCCGGGTTTGGACCCCCTAATTAGAACCGTGTCTTTTATTTTAAAGGTGAAATGACTTGTACGAATAGCCATCCCCAGAGTATTCCACTTCTTTTAAACTCGTTACCTTTTGGTTAAGATACTAGAGAGAAGTCTGGAGGCAAGCCAAGCCTCTCAGCAATTTTTTGGATTATCCGGATTAATTGCGCCTCTAACAGCTTATGTGGGAGGTTGGTAACTATAAAATGATTTATGCTAGTTGATCAGGCTATCATAAGTTTATCAATTTATTTATTAATCCAACCTTCCAGCTGGTAGAGACTTTTTCAACCTGCAATCAGAGCCAAAAATAACCTCTAATATTCTGTTTTTATCGCCCTTAAGACAACTCGTTACTCGCAAGGAGGGGGGAGTTAAAACGCCCCTTATCTTAAGGTTTCTTTATATTATTTTATTATAAACTGCAAAGTAAGTCCTGATAATTCAGAGACCTGTGATCGACATGCTTACCTCTGTGCAATTTATGGCCAGGGCCCCAAACGTGAAGCTTTAGAGAAAACCTGAAAGAATCAGGATTATGTTTCTTTTTCAAAAAAGGTTTATTACAAAATCAAAAATACAAAAATGGGTAAAGTGAAAAACAACTGCTATCCCCCACGGAGGAATTAGTTCAAAATGATTAAATAAGAGTTAGTTTACACTAGCTCCTGTCTTCTCAGAATCTCCCCAAAACAGCTCTCTCTCTCTCTCTCTGTCATCCCCCATCCAGGTTTGGACGGGGGATGACCCCTCCAAATCTGCTCTGTCTCTTCTTGTCGCCTGCCCCAGCTCTCTCTCTCAATCTCTTCTTCTGCTGTTCAGAGCTGTTCTTATATACCCTTCCTGGGCCAGCTTAAGGTCATGGGGTCATTTACCAGATACACACTTTGTAGCTCAACACAAAACATTTGGTGTCATTTTCACTACATGCAGCATTCTTCTTAACACAGGTCATTACATCATCTTTTACAGCATTCTTCAGTTTCTCTCCAATGTGTCTGAGAGAGCTTCTGGATCTGATGGGCTTGTCTTCACTCTGTTCTCCTCCAATCCCATCTTTCCAAGCCAGGGGTGGATCCAGGGGTGGGGCCAGCCAACCTGACCTTTCGCCCAGTTCTGTCCTCTTGTCCCTGTGACCCTTGTTTCTGACCACAGTTTTTTGACCTGCAGCCCAGCTCCTGTCGGCTGGCTGATTTTGCTCGCACAAGCCAGTCCAGTGTGGCTCACCTTTTGACCCCGTACTTGCCACTGTCTTTGGCATGTGGGGACTCGCAACATCAGAAGCACACCTCCGTCAGATCTGTAAGATTCTGATTGGATCAGTGAAAGGAATGTGTTGTTTCCTTTTAACACTACGTGAAATGAATCCTGTTGGAATCCTTAAAGTCACAGTACTTATTATTTCTATAGGATCATAATAAAGTAATTAATATTTTGATTTCACAGGTCGGTCACATGGTATTATTGACTAACAGTTGTTATGATTAGCTTTATTGAAAATAGAGTTCTTTGGCTTTTAATAAAATAAAAGAAAGGAGTCTTCATCTTCTGTCTTCATTGCTGGATTGTAATCAGTTTAGAAGCGAATGCATGACCTTGAGGCTGTTTCATGCACTCTGGCGCTGTGTCAAAAGGGAACAGTTGTTAGAGGATAATAACCCTGAGAAATGGCTCCTTCATTGCGTTACAGATGCATCACATGTCAGTGTCACAGGTTTGTTGACATCATAATATGTCAGAACAGGTGGATTGGTCATTTGCCCTTTAAGTGCTTCAAACGCATTCTGGTGCTGCGTATCCCACATCCACTCAGTGTCCTTGTGTGTAAGCCGTCGCAGAGGAGCTGACAGATGGCTACAATTTGGGATGAATTTTCCTAGGTAACTGATCATCCCCAGGAATCTCTGGAGGTCTTGGACATCTGTTGGAACTGGCATTTCCTTAATTGCTACTGTTTTGGAAGGGTCAGCTTTGAGTCCCTCGCTTGTAATAATGTGTCCAACATAATTGACCTGATTCAGCCGATTCAGTCATCCACAATGATGGCACATTGATATACCATACCATACCATACCATTTTATTTATAAAGCGCATTCAACATGGCATTACAACCAGACAAGGCGCTGTACATTAAAAGATTACAGTTAATTAACACATTCAGAATGACATTTAAAGCATAGTTTATAAGAAAAAAATGAAAACAAGAAAATACTCGAACTAACAGTCGTAAAACACTAAAAACGCAAAGGAATGTGAAACAACAGATAAAAACATATGAAAGAACCACAGTAATACAGATGTTAATTATTGTGCATTCTATTGTAGAAAGAATGCAGATGTCGAAAGTGGTCCATGATTATGTATTATATGCAAGGTTGAAGTAGTGAGTTTTCATGCGAGATTTAAAAATGCTAATTGTTGGTGCTTGCCTCACTAGTAGTGGTAATGCATTCCAGAGCTTGGGAGCACAGACAGAGAAAGCCCTTTCTCCACGGCTTTTCAGACGTGCGTTTGGAAGAGCTAGGAGGAGCTTATCCTCAGACCTGAGAGCACGAGGCGGATTGTAGTAATGGACGAGTTGACACAGATATGGAGGAGCTTGACTGTTCAGGGATTTATAAGTGAGCAGCATGATTTTGAAATTGATCCTGAGATGAACGGGCAACCAGTGGAGAGATTTTAGAATTGGTGTAATGTGCTGTCTTCTGTCAACTCCAGTCAGGAACCTAGCTGCTGAATTCTGGACTAGCTGAAGTCTAGATTGAGCTGCAAATATCTGCTCCATGGCTCGCTGAAACACCTCGCTGGCGGAGTTGAGACCAAAAGGCACTCTTAGGAACCTGTAACGACCAAAACAGGTACTAAAGGTGGTTAACATGGATGATTTCTGATCAAGAGGCACCTGCCAAAAAGAGCTCTTTGCATCCAAAACAGAGAAAACAGTAGCATTTGACATCAGTGCCGCCCACTTCTTCTACTGTGTGCATGGGGTGGTGTGGTCTTTTCAGAGCTGTGTTTAAATCTCTAGGAATAATGCATATCCTGATTTCATCCTTGCCTTTTTTGTTGGTTGCCACCACAGACAACACCCAGTGTGTCGGCTCAGAGACAGAAGTAATAACACCTAGTTTCTCCATCCTGTCCAGTTCTGCCTTGACTCATTCCTTCATGGCCAAAGGGATGTGATGTGCTGGGCGAACAACTGGTTTCACATCCGAGTCCAGTGTCATACGATACGTGACTGGCAACATTCCTAGCTCATCAGAAAAGAAGTCGCTGTATTCTGTGAAAAATGGTAATGGTAAATGGCCTGTATTTGATATAGCGCCTTCTAGAGTTCTTGAAACCCCCCAAGGCGCTTTACAACACAATCAGTCATTCACCCATTCACACACACATTCACACACTGGTGGGGATGAGCTACAATGTAGCCACAGCTGCCCTGGGGCGCATTGACAGAGGCGAGGCTGCCGAGCACTGGCGCCACCGGTCCCTCCGACCACCACCAGCAGGCAACGCGGGTTAAGTGTCTTGCCCAAGGACACAACGACAGCGACAGACTGAGCGGGGCTCGAACCTGCAACCTTCCGATTACCTGTGCCATCGTCGCCCTGATAAGCCGCTGTGATAGGTCATCTTCAGACGTGTTCAGCTGGTGGACGTCATTGCTGAATGAAACTAGTCCCATTTCTCTGCAGGCACATAGTCCCAGAATCGGCTGAATACTTTCATCAATAACGAAGAACGACAACAAATGAGATGGTCCATTGAGAAAACACTGCAGCCTAATTACGCCAGAGGTCTGAATCTTGCTGCCTCCAAAAACCACCAAGTTAACAGACTTAGAATGAGTTTTTATCTGTTTCTCAGCTTTGATGATGTCCACCGCGCTTCTGGGAAGTGCAATACATTTAGCACCCGTGTCCACTTTTCATCTCAATGGGAACATCATGAATCCGTACAGTGACAAAAGCTTCCTCTTTATGTTTCACGTGTATCCGTCGCATTGATTGCATATTGCAGGTGTATTCCATCGATGTAAAACGTGTCATCTGTGTCATCTGCGCTGTCATCAGCTTGGTCTGGTTCCACATGGTAAATTGACTTTCTGTGTCTTGCTACATTTTGAGATGCTGATGTTAGTGGAAAATTAATTAAAACAAACATTAATAGATCTAAAAAATATTACTTGTACTTTACACCACTTGGAGAAAACCTTCAATGAAAACTCTGAAAAGCTGCTTAAACCTGCATGTTTTTATTATTGTGGGCCTATCTATATTATTAAAATGATCAGAGCCACTACAGAAGGCCCAAAGAGCCTGAATTATGTTGTGGTAACTTGAGAGGAACTGTGAAATAGCTTGTTCATGTTGAATTCAAATAAAATAAGTACAAGAAATTTATGATGATAATAAGATTATTAATTGCATGTACATGTAACAGTGATGTTAGGGCTAAAAGGCAGAATATACGTTTTGCTTGTTTTTTTTCTCGTTGGAACTTCACGTTGTCCCACATTGAGTAGTCTCCGTCCCACATTTGGCAAGTTGGGATCTGGTCACCCTACCCTGATGGTCCACCTCGGTCAGCCCAGAATTATTCAGTTTTGGTGCCATGTCCCGCCCTTCAGCAGAGGGGGCCCTGCGGTTGTGGGAACTGCTCATTTGGCTCCAAAAAAGCCCCACAGAAGGTTTGTGGGTGGGGTTGTCCAGTACTTCTACAGTCTTAGGTTAGAACGATGCTACAATTATATTTTTTAATCAAAAATACACATTTTAACCTCCTACTAAGAGTAGATCATAATTTTAAAATGAAGCTAAGATTGTCTAAAGGTGAGCTGCTCTTATATAAGATGAATAAAATACACTGAAACTTGCTGTTTTATAGAAACATTTAATTCCTAAACATCATTTACTTTATGTACATGCAACACAGTATAAACAGCATGTGGATGCTATGATCATTTTAATGACGAACATGAAACATCTCATCTTATGGTGGGTCATGTTTATTTATGAAGCCTTACAGGAATACAGGATAAAATGCATGTGTAATTGAAAAAAATGTGTTTGAAAAGATCATAAGTACTTCAAAAAATGTTTTTGAGTGAGTTTTTACATTCGGCCATGCACACAGAAGCGGGATGAACCTGAGCCGAGTGCTGCTTTTGACAGCCGTAGGTGGTGGGCGGCTGATCACAGGACAAGAACGATGACTCTCGTTGCTTTCAGATCAATCAAAGACGATTACTTACTCATATTCAGTTTCTTATATATATATATATATATATATATATATATATATATATATATATATGGGGAGTCCAGCCCAAGAATATGAAGTGAACAGGGAAAAAACTTTTAGGCAGTTTCAGCCATTTGTGTACATTTTGTGCTTTATATGTTGACAAATACCAGCAACATCAAAAGTTGACAAAAAAAAATTAATTGTTGTTTGATGCTTGATACCGTACTGTGTGTTCTCTCCGGGGACTCCGGCTTCCTCCCACAGTCCAAAAACATGACTGTCAGGTTGATTGGTCTGTCTAAATTGTCCTTAGGTGTGTGTGTGTGTGTGTGTGTGTGTGTGTGTGTGTGTGTGTGTGTGTGTGTGTGTGTGTGTGTGTGTGTGTGTGTGTGTGTGTGTGTGTGTGTGTGTGTGTGTGTGTGTGTGTGTGTGTGTGTGTGTGTGTGTGTGTGTGTGTGTGTGTGCGCGCATGATTGTTTGTCCTGTGTGTCTCTATGTTGCCCTGAGATGGACTGGCTCTCTGTCCAGGGTGTACCCCGCCTAGTTGCCCGGTGACTGCTGCAGATAGGCATCAGCCCCCCCCACCCCCCCACCCCGCGACCCTACGTGGACAAAGTGGGTTCAGAAAATGGATGGATGATTTCTTCTTTGTACAGGTCTGGGAGAAATTGGGTTTGGGTGGAGTTGGTGGAACTGAAATCAGTTTAATGATCACGATTCATGCTTTAACCAGGGATCACATAACCAGGTTGGTCTGAGTGGGTTTGTTCTGGGAACAAATGAAAGCATCCCAGGAAAACCGTGTTTGTGCTTACTCAGGTTATCTTTGTCTAATTATGACGTTTGTTTGTTGAACAGAAACATTTAAGTGTACAAAAGGAGTCAAACACATTTCCACATCACTGTAGTGTTTCATGCGACAGCGTTTAGAAAAGCACAACGAACTTTTACCAACCATACAGATTTCCTCAGCTAAATCTTCTGTTATTCTCAAAATGATTTGATCAAACATCATTTTCACACCATGAATTATGCATTTAACCTAAAAACAAAAAGCAGCTGTTTGCTTCTGAAAGCTAAAATACGTAAATGTGGTTCATGGCTGAGGTTACGAACTCATGATTGTCATGGTGCTAAATGCAGGAGTGAATCTCGTACAAATCTCCCGAGTATTAAATGTGACAAAACATACAAACTCTGACAAATGGTGTCGATAAAAACGTGAACCCTAAGATTGAATTCCCAACCCTTAACAGTACAGTCTGCTGTAACGTTGGAACAACATGAACGGTCCTTTGCTTACAAAAAGATCTCACTAAAATCCCCGTTTGCCCGTTCTTTGTGCTCTCAGCCTGGGAGTAAAGATCAAACTCACGCCCTCTCCCCTGAATCCTGCTCTGGAATGTCCCACGGGCAAACATCTGAGACTTTAGCACTGCTGAGGACAGCAGGTTTGTGACGCAGAGACCGCTCCTTCTTTTCTGGTGATTTTTTAGTCTGGCTCAAGCTGCCGTGTGTGTGAGCTTCGACATCCCGGGAGATCAGCTCGTTGTCCCTCGTGGAGCTCCTCCGGCACCCCGAAGCAGGCCCACCGCCCTCCGATGACTGGCTGACCCGTCTCCTCTCTGATGATGGCTTGCTGGACGAGCTCCGCCTCTCCCTGCCTTTCTCGCTAATTTTCTCCTTTTCTGATTTGTGACTGGAAGAGGAGGAGCCTTTCCGTTTCCTTTTATGTGTGATGGGACTGCTGCAGGTCTTCTCCTGCTTGGGTGAAGGTGGGCTGGTGTAATCCCAGGGGCAGATTTCCACCATGAAAGACGGAGGCTGCAACAAGCTTCCTGTGGACTTGGAGTGATCTGAATGGAGCCCTTTAGGCTTCCCATCAGTAGGGGTGACACTTTTCTTCCTCCTAATCCTGTCAGGAGAGATGGAATCGGATTCTCCTCCAAGCATCGGCTGCTCATCAAACTCCCAGGGTGACACATCCGCCTTAATAGGAAGAGGCGACTTGGGCGACCGGGATTTCCGTGTCTCCCTCCCTTCCAAACCTTCTCCTCCTTTTTCCTTTGAGCGACGTTTGCTGGATGGGGACTGTCCAGGTTTCTGCCTCTGCCGGGAACGACTGGATTTGGATGTTCCTGAGCTGCTGCTGCCTCTCCGACCCGTTTCTACGGGAGCAATGGACACGTGCTTCTGGCTCTTTGCATCAGAGGGAGTTTGTGCTTCTTCCATCTCCCAGGGACAAACCTCTGACACATCATAGAGGTTCCTCCCAGTTTCAGAGCAGATGGAAGGCTGGCTGCCACTAACCTGGAAAACAGTTCATATTTACGGTAAATGAATGGAACGGTTTAGTTACCACGAAAATAAAAATACAGCTCAGATCATTTTCCACTTTGAACCAAGCCTGGGGTTGATACCTGTGTTAAAGGGCCAGGGGAAATCCAAACCAGCCATTTGGGTGTGTTTTTCTGTAGTCCTACCTGAAGGAAGAGTGTGCAAGATCTGGTGATGGGTGGAATACCAAGGTGTGAACCCTTGTGGTCAGGTTCCTGGTTACAATAACTTATTTTATTGTTGTTTTGAGTGATTATTAGTGAGTTTACAGGGCAAAAAACATTAAAATCAGGGTGATAATCAGGAGGGCAACTCAGGGGTTCGGGGTTACCTGTAAGCAGCCTATAGACCCTTTTACTGTTTGTAAACAATATGACGTCAGCGAGAATGCGCGCGCAGCTTGGCAACAGAGAATGGCGTTGTGTCAGGCTTTATCCAGCTCCGCTGCGGGGTTATCACCGGCAAATCATGAATGCTATATTATTAAACTCACTTTAACGAATGGCAACAGACTCCCGGATCCCTGTGGCATTACGGAATGGGTGGAAGATGTAGGTGCGTGGCCAGATGTCCAGTGGCCCGATATATATACGTTTTTAGTGGAGAGGCCCAGTAAGTACACCCGTGAGAAGCTACGGGCATACAAATCGTTAGATGCATACAACTATGTTGTCTGTGGCCACGTACAGAAAGTAAAATATCACCACATAGACTCTGAGTTTTGCGTCTTGAAGGCAGAAGTCCTTCCTAGCCAAAGACAAGGACACAAGACTGCTATGTACGAGGCTTGGGTCATAGTAAACAAACCAGAGAACTACGTCTTCACAGCCAACTGTACCTGCATGGCAGGGTGAGTATAGCATAGGTTTCTTTTTTTAGCGTGCTCAGAGTACAATCGTGTTAATTTTAGAGAAATACAGTTTATACTAATATGCAGTGGGAAAATACAGATGAATTAGAATGAATTGTTAATTTGAAGCATGAAATAAAGCGTATAAATTTATATGTAATCTTAGTAGATAATTACCTTACCTGATATAAAATGGGCGCTACAAACTCGAGCATTTCGGATCGTGTTTTCCGTCCAGTTTTCATCAACCCTTTTGATGGCCTGCAGCCACAGACGCCTCCAATTTTGTTGAAATGGATGTGCTCCCTTCGGAATTCTGTAAAGTTTCAGTCCACTGCTTGAAGAGAAGCGATTCTGGCATCCATACACGCAACAACCCGACATTTTTATGTGCTCAGAACTTCAAAACAAAGGGTTTAAAACGCTGTTTTAGTATCGAGGGTGAATGAGGAAGCCTTCACTCTCGTTGCCAGGCTGCGCGCGCAACTTTTGATGACGTAGGTAGCAAAAGGGTCTATTTGAGGGTCTAGGGGGTGGAGTCACAGGGGCATAAGACCCTGCTGAAATCTGATTGGCCTCCTGAAGTGCCCCAGTCCTGTCACTCATCTGCTCTTTGCACAATGATCAGATTGCAGGTTGATGCAATTCCAAGTCCAACAAGTTTAATATTATTATTTTGTTTTTTTAAGCTAGTTGGTGAATCCTGAACAGATACTACAGTTTTAATATTCATAATGATTTATATATTTACTAGTTCACTGACCTTCTTTAACCTCTAAAACGCAACTTGTTTTTACTCACATTGTAATTAAGTACCTGCTGTTTCATTATGCCCATCTTCATGGGGCTCTTGGAGTACTCCACCGATTGGCTGATGATCATTTTTGGGAAATGTTCGGGCGTCTCGTCCACCTCCGACAGCACGCTCTCCTCCTGACCTTTCTGACCTTTCTTGCTGGCATCCTCCACGCTCTGAGTCTTGTTAGCGAGCCCTGGCATCTTCTCCTTGGCACTTGCAATGACGCTCAGGGACTTCTGCATGATGGAGGTCCGCAGATGTACAGGTTTCTTCTCGTGGGTGAGGTTGTGAGCACTGGCTGATTTCCAGAAGAGTGGAACAGACTCAGTGGAGTTCGCCGGTTCCAGCCTTGGTGGAGCTCCAGCTGGTTCCAGCTGCTTCTTGGTGTGTCTGCGACCAATGAGGGAACCCAGAAGAGATCCCTCGCCACTGTTTCCAACAGGTGTCATCTTGTCTCCAGGAATCGAGCCGGTCTGGCTTCCAGTTTCTACTTCCTGTTCACAAATGTGATCATAGCTAAGAGACTTAGTCAAGCCAGTGTCCTTCAGGGAGTCATCTCGAGGTTTTCCTAAGGAAGGAGTTTATCACATCATGAAGATGGAAGGGCAGATTTTCTTCTCATGTCATATTAAAACATTTCAGCTCTACTGTGTTTCACCTGGATGGCTCTGCTCAAGCAGGTTCCTCCTGAGCGTGCTGCGGTTGCTGCCGTGCTCGCTGCCATCATCCCGGCTGCACTGGCGGTGGATGTGCATGGTCTCTGGGATCTCTGTAATGCGTTTCATCAGGGTGCGGCCAAGGCCCTTCTTTGAGTTGCGCTTCTTTTGGAGGTGGGGGTTGTTGGCGAGCATCTTCTTCCTCTTGTGGACCTCCAGCTGGGCGTAGAGTTTCTTCAGCTCATCCTGCGAAGAATACCTTGTTCATTTCAAAATTGTAATAAAAAGTGCCCAGATTAATTTTTCTATTGATACTATGATGGAGGAGGAGTATTTCTGATGAAACCATATTAAATAAGACTGAATAAAAAAGGCCACTTAGGCCCTGTCCACACGTAGCCGGGGATCTGCCAAAACGTAGATATTTTTCTACGTTTTGGCCTGTCATCCACATGAAAACGGATCTTTTTAAAAACTCCGGCCAAAGTGAAGATCCGCGTTTTCTCCGTTGTGGGTGTCTGCGTGTGGACGGACAAAACCGGAGTTTTAAGGTCCGCAACGTTAGCCTGGCAAGCCAGACTAAATAAATGTATTATTTAGTCTGGCCACGCTCCATTGACGGCTCTCGGTTGTGGGGCGGGTTCTACCGTTGTCTTTCAAATGATCTCTGCATGCTACTGGACAATGAATGTGACATACTCTTGTTTCACTCTGTTGCATCATCCCACCCACCAGGCATATAGAGTGCCCTGATTGGCCCACAAAGCGGATAAAGCTCTGTGATTTGTTCACTAAGCAGATAGAGCACTATGATTGGCCCACCATTATGGACCAATCACAGCTCTTTGTGTGTTTGAAACCCCTCTAGAGAGCTGTGATTGGCTAGCCAGAGTCCTGGTAGGAGCTGCGGAGGTTCCAATGGAGCGTGCCTAGACCAAACTTTGCAAAGCAAGAATTTGGTCTAGTTCACTAGGCTACCGCAACGTCACTTTCCGCGACAAAAAAATGCTGACATCACGTGTGCGACCTGTGTTTACACTAGCCGACAGCATGGATGCCCTCAGAGCTGCGCTCGCTTTATCAATTGTCCAAGTGCTTTTTGCTTGTTTGTTTTTTCAAGCGGGATTACTGCTCCTTGCGGAAGACCACAGACAAAGGACGAGGTTAAGAACGGGGGAAGTACTGCCGCCTACAGGTCTGGCATGTCCTTAACAACGTATTTATCCGGGTACGTGTGGACAGAGTTTTTTTTAAAACGAGGTGGTGTGGATGCAAGTTTTTGGAGGAGCGGATATTCGTTTTTAAAAATACCCGGCTACGTGTGGACTAGGCCTTAGTCATGCCACCCACCGTCTTTCAGATTATATTATGCCTGTTTAGGTCAAATCTGGAAAATATGCAAGACGATAGCAGATGATCTCACACTCAGAGTGTAGCGGAGGACTCTCAGGTTCTACGTGACATTGTAGCTCATTATCTCTCAAACTAACTTGAGTCTGGGCCATCTTGAATGATGCTGACCTTCAGGGTTAATCAGTTACTTTATTCCTGAGAGTCCCGCTGAAGTGTTTATTCGAATCCATCAGCGAATCATCTGCGCTAACACAAGATAAACCAACACAGGCATCATGTATCCTTTTGTTGGGGGGACAGTTGGGGGTGATTAATCTGAGGGATTAACCCGTATATCATCTGGGTCCAGGCTGTGCTCGCTCCAGGCTGATGTGATGCTGTTGTTGAAGTAAGACCCAGATCTCCCCATGTCCAGCTCCTCCTCGTACGCCTCGGTGGCGATATCGTCTCTAGCCTGAGTGCCTTTAGACAGGAACTGCAACAGAAGACGGTTAGAGCCTGAAATCGCTGCAGGGATAGAAGGACAGTAGACCTGCAGGGTACAAAAATACACAATCTGTTTTTCTATTATTTCTTTCACATTTTCGAGATTGCAGCCATCAGTAAATACCGCCCCATTGTGTTTTAGTCTCATTTGAGTTGGAGGTTAAATTAGAAAGCATAAGCCAAAGTTTGATGAATGAAACCAAAGTGAGTCAATGTCTTCTTTGAGTTTATCTAATATTTCTATTGAGCGTGTGCTGTTCAGAGCTCAGAAGGCCCCGCCTCCTCACTACACATAAAGGTACGCTCCTGCAACAACAAAACAAAGAGCTGAGAATGGGATTTATCTCTGTTCAGGTAACTAAACCAAACATTTAGCCTAGTTCCAGCAGCAGATGCAATATGAAAATAGCATCCTCACATTGTGCTCAATTATCCCAGCATGCTCAGCTGGATTATACTTGTGAGGCGCCTAATTAAGACAGAATCAAAGGAAGGAGGAAGGAGAGTACATATTTCACACAACAGGAGAAAGAAATGTTTTTCATCAGCCTTAAAGACACCCGCAGGAGCGCTCAGATAAATTACAATACCCACTTACGCTGTATGATGGACCTGACGGTAATGATGCTAAATTAGCCTGTGTGGATTTGGGTTTCGCTGCTCGCCAATACCCAACCAACCTAGGATGTTAAATACGCTGTTGAGTAGGAACAGTGGTCTCTAAGGGGATCTACGACTAAAACTCTCCAATGACACACTTTACTCACAGCCTTTTTAATTCATTGTGTGTCATATTTTTACAGAGAGACTAAAGTCCCAAAAACAACCAGCTCATTGGGTGATGCTGAAATCTACTGAATTTTTACTGTTCATCAACATAAAAGCGTGATCATAATGTGTTCATATACCAGTGGTTCCCAATTAGTGGGAACAAATATTTTCAGATGTTGATTCAAGTAGCTCTTACCTTGCTGCTGTTTGTTCAAATGTTCATTCTCTTATAAATTTAACTGTAAGTAGTTATGTGGCACTTAAAGATCTCTAGTATGGCAGCATCTGTAAACAGGACATTTTGGCCAGAGATGGAAACAAATCGTTGTTTTGCAAGTCACGAGTAAGACTTGGGTCTTATTCACTCAAGTCCCAAGACAAACTCCTGGAGTAAAGTCCAACTTTCATAGTTGAACAAGTCGTTTAACCTGAAATGTAATTCACTGGCAAATAATGACATTTAATTTCCAGAATTGAAAAATGTTCCTTGAAAAACACAAAAATGAACAATCAATGATGAACAAGAGTCTGCTTCTAGACCTGCAAAAAGGGGACACATAACAATACAGCAGGAGCAAGCTATCACTGCGTCAACTTGATGAGGAAATATAAAATCTGCATTGTTTTACTGAACAATCTCACGATAATAAATCACAGTGCATTTAGTGCCAACCATAGCCTTAAGGCATGTGTTGAACGTGCCTAAGTCCATACTTATGAGAGCACCATGTGAGCACCTGTGTGTGTACACACGCTTGTATATGTAAGGTTTCTCTATAGGAGCATCCAATAGAGAGTGTGAGGGACCACAGATCTGCCCCCCAAAGATGTGCAGGAGATGGAGGGAGCTCCAAGTCCCAGAGATCCAGGAGCCGCCCCAGAGCACAGAGACCCCAGGGAGACTGTGACCAGAAAAGCCCCTGCCCCCCTCGAGAGGCGCAGAGGATTGCCCCGAGGGGCCACAACCTTCAGCTGGCAGAGTCGGGGGAGATATCAGAGGCAAGCCCACAGGCCCGCCCGCAGCCTCCCACCCCCTAGCCGGCCGAGCCTGGGACCCAGTGACCCGGGACCCAGGGGCGTCCACCCCACGCTGGGGACCCAGCAGAGCCCAGGGACCCAGACCCCACCAGGCAGCCACCGGGATTGGTCAGGCAGACGCCAAAAATCTTAAACCCTCTGACCCGGGAGCAGCGAACACTCAGGCAGACCAAGGCACCACACTCCACACCAGGTGTGGCAGGGGGAGGGGAGGCGAAGATGCATAGCATCGAAAGAAGTCCCAGGACAGGGGAGGAGTCAAAGGCCTCACCTGACATATACAGTCATATACAGACACAGTCACACACTCCCTCCCTCATGCTCTCACATACACATACAACCTAAGACTCACAAAAATGCACGCCGGACACCCACTCATGCTCCCCATACACACCCTATTCACTCTGGTCCCAGTACTGCTGCACAAGGGGTACAACCATTGCCGGTTCCCAGAGTTCGACCCTTTCTGCTGGGGTGATGATGAGCAGGCTCCCCCACCCAACGCTGAGCAAAGCGACCCACCACCCCAGACCCCAGCCAGACGCCAGCTCCGCCTCCTACCTTTCAGCCCCGAGAAGTCAAGCGACAACAGAGGTGTGCTAAGACCCCTAGTCTCCCTTCGCCTGCTCCAATATAGTGTTAGTGCGTGTTGATGAGGTGTATTCCATGTCAGCGATCCATTCTATCTCTATCTCGGGAGTTTGTTAAACTGAGGTTTAGAGGAAAATATCTGACTGTAATATTCTAAATTTTCTTTTTAACAATAGCAATGAAAGTTTAAAAATTACCTTAGGAACAAGCAACAGACCCAGAGTTACAGTCACTGTCAGGTGAGTGTGAGCAAAGAACAGCAACAGCATCCAGTCAGGGTGCAGTCTGGACACCAGAGAGAACCTGCAGAAGGATTTTCAAGAATTTTAGTTAAACATCAGCGGCAAAACAACAACAACCCAAGAAACAACGACAGGAAAACAGGACATTTACCCACATATCTAATATGATATAATTCAGTAGCCTGGCCTGCCAGACTCGTCCTCTGTTTCATTCTGCACAGAGAACTAGTCTGGTAACTCACAGGCAGAGAGGCACATGAGGGGCGGGACTAGACAGCTCAAAAATAACCAATCAGAAAATAGATGGAAATGCCGACTGTACCACGCTGTCGTTTTCTAGCTGTACTAAAAAAAGGCGTCTGGCAACGGCGCAAATATCTTTTTTTTAGAAGAAAGACTTTTAGCGCTTCTACTTGTTGTTTTAAAGACATTAAAGTCATTTAGAACAGAGGAAAGAGTCGCAGCGAACTCTGCCGCTGTCTTCATTGTTTATGAGAAAGTGAGCGTCGCTGTGTGTGACGTCCGCGACGCTGTAGTTTTATAGCTGTAGTCAAAAATGGCATCTGGCGACAGCGCAAACATCTTTATTTAGCAGAAAGGCTTTTAGCACTCCTACTTGCTGTTTTAAAGATGAGTCCAAGTCATTTAGGACAGAGGAAAGAGCCGCAGCGAACTCCGCTTCAGCCGTCATGTTTATGACAAACTCGGCGTTGTGGTATGTGACGTACGCTACTCAGTGCCGATGGGCTCAGTTAGAATTCTCAGGGGGTGGGGTTATCTGGATAGGAGAGTTCCCAGACCCTTTCTCTGTGCAGAATTAAACAGAGGAGTCTAGCAGGCCAGGCTAATAATTTATTTGTGATACTCCTTAAGGGAGTTTTCCTCTCCACTGTCGCTGCATGCTTGCTTGGTATGAGGATTGCTGTGAAGACACTGACACTCGTCAGTGACTCGATGCAACCTGCTGGGTTCTTTATATAAGAAACTTTTTACTGATTGGCTTAATGAACTGACCTGTATTAAAATGTTTACTTTGTGAAGCGCCTTGAGACGACTCGTCATGTTGGAGGTATAAAAGTAAACAGAGTTGAATAGTGCTGCTCTCTTCTTCTCTTTGTTTTATTGTTTTCTTTATTTGGGGGGGGGGGTGTGTGTGTGTTTATTTATTTATGTATTTGTTTATTTACTATTATTTATTTATTAACTTATATTTTGAAATGATAAACCACTTGACATGAACCATCTCGTTTACAAGTGGGTCCTCTATATACAACAAAAACAAATAGTAAACCTGGATAGCAAACAACATTTCAATGCCATACATTGAAGCAACAACAACAACAATAATAAAAATAATAATAATAACTAATAAAAAGATAAACAAACACAAAATAAAGTTACAAGTAAAATATCTCTAAAACAATTACAGATGGGTATTAAATATTCATACAAAGAGATTTTAAACTGACGAATTGTAGTGATGATTCTTAGGAAAACGGGCAGATTGTTCCAGTCTCTTGGTGCTTTGACAGAAAAGGCCAGCATTCCTGACTCCGTTTTTGAGATGGGGATGACAAATGAAACATGATGCATTCTGCGAACGTGATAATGAGACCTAAATGGTACTAGAAAGGTAGTTAGGTATGAAGGAAAATTAAAATAAACGCAACAACCAGTGAAAGTTCCACCTAGCTTCTGGTGTAAGCCACCTTGTTGTTGTTTAGTGTTTTTATTACTACCATTATACTGCTTGTTTGATCACTACTAATCAGCTTGGGCACAATTAAATATTGTTGTCAATTTATTCCTTGTTTGCAGATAAAAACTTTAGTTCAAACATTAGTACTGTCTCATTTAGATTATGCATCAGTTATTTGGTCTAATACAAGTGAATTGAATAAGTTACAAGTGGCACAAAATAAAGCTGCATGAATTGTTCTGGGTTGTAATTATAGAACAAATGTTGGTATGATGCATGATAGGTTGGCCTGGTTGACAGTGAAATGTAGATTAAAGTATTCACTGATAACATTTATAAGAAATATAATAACTACGAAAATACCTAGAATAATTTATGACAAGTTATCATTTTTTTCGGACAATCATGATTACATGACGAGACAGACAAGTGGCATAAGGTGCGCACTACCGCGCTGCAGAACAAATCAAAGGCAAAGAGCGGTTTATTACAGAGCCATGGCTGCATGGAATGCCATACCGAGATTTTTGTTATTAGAGAATAACAGAAGATGTTTTCAAAAGAAGTAAAAGCTTTTTTTGTTTACACAACAGTAAATTTTGCACAAAGAATTGTAAATGTGACTGATATGACAGCTTCTATAGTTTTTGTTTGTTATGGAAGTGATGTGATATGATTTTTGATTCTTGGATATAGGGCTGCTCGATTATGGCAAAAATAATAATCACGATTATGGTGACTGAAATTGAGATCACGATTATTTAGGACGATTTTTCAATTTATGTTGATTTTATTTGTTTTTATTCAGTCATAAAACTGCTCAGGGCACAATCAGGACAAAAATAAGAAACAAGATGATCACTAAAAGAACTCCTGATTCCCAGGATAAAAAGACCAATATACTTATAGCTCATAGTCTATGACCCAAGGGTTATAGACCTTGAGTCTAACCAGTACAGAACCAAATACCAATATCTTGCAAATACTGACAGCAAGAATTATACAGAGGCATTTATAACAAATAAATGCAAATAAATTCATGTTCACAAAATGTTACATAACATTTATTGAGTCGTGTCAAGGTGCTGTAGGAGAGTGCACTAGCACAGTGTCCTCAGAGAGATTAGTTATCAGCTGAGGAACTTATTTCTACCTTATTTATAAACTATTTATTTACAGGCCCATCAGTTAATGTAATAATTGTCCCAACCACAGCTGCCCCCCCACCCCCCCACCCCGGTCTCACAGCAATCGGGCAAGCTGCACGTGTGTTTAGCGTGCTGCACGCGCACATTTAGCTGTTTTTAGCTGCTCAGGAGACCGCAGGTACGGTGTGTGTGTCACTCACTCTGGTTAATCCAACAAGGAGCCGGCTCCGAGAGCTGTCTTTAGCGACCGACGCATCACTGCATCATTCCCTTTCCTAATGTTGTGAAGAACGGTCCGGAGCACAGGCGGAGTGTTTAGCTAACCTGCAGGAAATGTCGACGACAGTTATCCAGAAAGTAGCTAAGGGTTAGCAGAGATGTTTCTGAGATGTTCGCTAGGTACTTTTATGATTAAAAAGTCAAGAAGGGGGTCTGAAAAGCTGCTAGAAATAGCGTCAAAGTCGCTAAGTTGGCAACACTGTGGAGGAGCGCTTCATTTGCAACTCAGGGCAGCGCAAGCGGGAGGAGCAAATAATCGGCTTGTTTTGTTTTTTATAATCGTTCAAAACTCAGATCGTAATCGTGATTAAAATTCGATTAATTGAGCAGCCCTACTTGGATATATTTATTTATTGCTCTGTGTGAACTCTCCGTATTTACTTATTTAGATTTTTCATGAATGCTGAAGTGTGTGGTAACTTACTGGTATAGCATTATTGCAATTGAGCTGGTATGATTATAATGAGCTCCTGAGGTTTGTTGTTGTTGTGTGTGTGTGTGTGTGTGTGTGTGTGGGTGGGTGGGTGGGTGGGTGGGAGTGGGGACGGGGGTGTTTTGTAAAATATTTGTAATGAAATTGGAAGAGATCTCAGGAAGAATAACTTCACACGATGGTGGGAGCTAATGAGGTTCTCAATAAATAAATGAAAAAAAGAAATTATGTAAACAAAAGGTCTTTTTTGTTTGTTGCTAACCACCCCCCTGCCCCGGAAACTGAGCGCCGACCAGAACTAACCAATAGCGTTAGACTACCGCTTACTTGCTTCAAATTTAAGGAAGTACCACAGCTGATGCAAAGTTGATGAACTTTTCACGGACAAGCAAGTCTTTAAAATATCAATATATGAAAACACAGCGTGACATGAGAATAGTACTTGTAAAACAGCGTGTTTTAGCTCGGTTTGCCGGCTAAAGGAGAAAGAACAAGAAACAGGAAGTCGCCATCTTAATAAAACGGATCGATAGACTTTTTGTGTGATAAGCTTGTCAGCCACTAGATACGGTGGCCCAGAAGGTTCAGGCAATTATAAAATCCACAACACAACAAAACCCACACCTTCTGGGCCACCGTAACTATGGTGCCATCGGATAAGAGAAATAGTCCAGAAAGAGAATTTAAAATGTGTATTTCATCAACTGTTTTACCATTATTCAATTTATTTTAATTCTAATGTAAAAAAAAAAAAAAAAAGGAAAAACCTCTCGTAGTGACTTTTTGCAGTTTCCCAGTGAGACGCATGCAGACAGACAAACAGAAAGGTAGATGGGTTTATTTTTGGCTATGGCACAGTACATCTCAGCTTTTGATGCACCACCTTAAACTGGCCAACTCTGCTGATGGCTCTTTTCCTGATAAAGAGGTGAGAAAAAATTCTGCCTCCTCTGAAACCTGGCTAATCCACCGGGCAAACATCTAATAAATATTATTAAACACCATCTTGTGCTGTTAAATTTACTGTCTATTACTATAGCGCAATGTTTAGAACCTGATGAAGACATTATTATTTAGAAAGGTTTAATTTAATCTTCAACTCTACCTTCCTGTGTTGTCTCCTCTCACCTGATGATGTGGAAGATGGCTGATACGAGGAGCTCGTTGTAGATGGCCACAGCGATGTAACGAGGCTCGTGGAACGCCGAGGGAACGGTGCGAACAGCATAACACAAGTAAATTCCCCACTGCAGAAAGAGGAACTCGGCTGAAATAAAGACAGAAAAGTAGGTTAAAATCCTTAATGTCATACAATTCTCTTTCTATAAAAAAACACACAATACAGCTGAAAAAGCTAGAGATCACTTGGGAATGCTCTTGTTTCCCATGGAAACAGACATGAAGTTAGTCTGAATATCAACTGAACAGGAAACACAGAGGGAGTCAGTCAGAAAGCACGCAACCACTGCTCCCAGGTCAGCGGGGTTTAGATCTGTAGGTGTGTAGCACGGCGCCCCTTCCTATCTGGTCAGATCTGACTACCTCCAAAGCACCTCGGACCATGGACGTAATTTTGGGGGGGTACAGGGGGGACATGTCCCCCCCACTTTTTCCAAAGTCAAGTTTTGACCCCTGCACTTTTTACCATCCAAAAACAATATTACACTATATTAAAATGACACTGGTTGAGCTCTAGGACCAAGAGGGAAAACAACCGTTTGTGTTGAAGCCTGTTTCCCATTAGAGCATACTGTAAAGACCCCCCCCCCCAACTCCCCCGTCCCCGGTGTCCCCCCCACTTCTAAAGTGAAAATTACGTCCATGCCTCGGACCACCGCCCTGTGTAACACAAACGCAAACGTTTCTCTGATAATCAATTAGCTTCATAAAACGGTTTGTTTAGATTAGCAGCAAGAACAGGAGACTGATGCAGGAGGCCCTGCAGCACTCTCACATCAACTTCAACTACCACGGCCTTTTGTGTAGATTCTGCACAAAAATGTGAAGCAACGATAAGCAGGTCTCCTTGTGTTTGTCATCTCTCTCAACCACACACCCAATGAGGGAAGTTTGTTTTCTACGCCCGAAGGATCAGTGTGATCAGCCTCCCAAACCAAACAGCTGCGTTGCTGTTTTTTGATAACAGCCACAAGTGGGACAGAAAAACAGCAAATGGTTACAAGAACAAATCTAAGGAGGTAAGTTTTATTTACATTTATTGCAATAAGATGAAATATCTGCAAAAGATGATTCCTTATGATGATGAATCCTATCCTGTCTTCACAACGATCTAAAATAATTAACTTATTCACCGAGACCTGGATCCTTTATTTAGTCTAAAAGCTCACTCCTCGTCAGCCATTCAAAATTAAACAACTTTTATAGCAAAAATCCTGAAAATATTTATTTAACACATGATAGAAAAATATCAACTGCTTAAATGAAATAATACTTCAGGTAATATGCAGGTCATCAAAAACATTTGTAAGAAGTTTGTCCCATTAGTCTTCCTCACACACTGGTGAAATTACGTCTCTTCATCTGGCCCGTCCCCATGGAGACGTGAGCTGCAGCAGGGGCAACGCTCAGGAAACATTTGGTCTTCGTCGTCGTCTTCCTCCGCTTATCCGGGTCCGGGTCGCGGGGGCATCATCCCAATTACGGAGCTCCAGACCGTCCTCTTCCCATCCACCTCCACCAGCTCCTCCGGCAGGACCCCAAGGCGTTCCCGGACCAGATTGGAGATGTAACCTCTCCAATGTGTCCTGGGTCGACCCGGGGGCCTCCTGCCGGCAGGACATGCCCGAAACACCTCCCCAGGGAGGCGTCCAGGAGGCATCCTGACCAGATGCCCAAACCACCTCAATTGGCTCCTTTCGATCCGGAGGAGCAGCGGTTCTACTCCGAGTCCCTCCCGAATGTCCGAGCTCCTCACCCTATCTCTAAGGCTGAGCCCGGCCACCCTACGGAGGAAACTCATTTCGGCCGCTTGTATCCGCGATCTCGTTCTTTCGGTCATTACCCAAAGCTCATGACCATAGGTGAGGATTGGGACGTAGATCGACCGGTAAATCGAGAGCCTGGCTTTCTGGCTCAGCTCCCTCTTCACCACGACAGATCGGCTCAGCGTCCGCATCACTGCAGACACCGAACCAATCCGCCTGTCGATCTCCCGATCCCTCCTACCCTCACTCGTGAACAAGACCCCGAGATACTTAAACTCCTCCACTTGAGGTAGGACCTCTCCCCCGACCCGGAGTTGGCAAGCCACCCTTTTCCAGTCGAGAACCATGGTCTCAGATTTGGAGGTGCTGATCCTCATCCCAGCCGCTTCACACTCGGCCGCGAACCTACCCAGCAAGAGCTGAAGGTCAGAGCTGGATGAAGCTAGGAGGACCACATCATCCGCAAAAAGCAGAGACGAGATTCTCCTGCCACCAAACTCGACACACTCCACACCACGGCTGTGTGCCACTCAGGTAAACAAACAGGATGGCACGTCCTCGGTGCATCTTGGGCGATCGTGAATGAACGGAAGGACAAAAGAGTCTGGCGATCATAGGAGATGGTAGCAGGGACACTACTGAAGAGGATCGCAGACAGGAGCAAGGTGGAAAAGAGGAGGTTAGTGGAGAAAAGTTTGAAAATATGGCCGGTGACTGTGACTAAGCCAAGCACAGGCGCCATCTTGTTGCCATCTTGGTACCGTTAAGCACCGGTATTGATTCATAGGTACCGGGAATTGGTACTGTATCAATTTAAATGTCAAAGGTACCCATCCCTACCCACAAATGGATCAACTTAATGAGACCGTGCTGGTCCTGATGGACTTTCTTTTGTACCCTGAATACATTTTTAGGATTAAAAGGGACATAGTATGACTTATTTTTAAAGTTATGATAGTTTTATGGTCAATACCAAATATGTTCAGAGAAACTCCTCTCATATAAAAAATCAAACCTTCTATGATTTTGTGATCATACGAGTCCAGCTACACCAGCTGCCCCATGTCTGGTATGGTCCTGGTGGGGATTGACAAGCTGTGGCATTGACGACAAAATCGTGCCACTACCGTATAGCAATGCACACGCACGCTTTTTTAATGGGAAGTGAGTTTCTCAAGTGTAAGGTGCAGCTCTAGTGAAACCCTGCCCAACACATTCCTGTCATTTAGCAGCGTGTTCTAGGCTGCCACAGCAGGACTCCCTCTCCTCCGCTCACAAGCAATGTAACACCAGGAAGGGTTCCCTAGTGTGTATCATTTAAAAGTGCTGTTTATGTAAGAACACACACACACACACACACACACACACACACACACACACACACACACACACACACACACACACACACACACACACACACACACACACGCACATCCCTGTGGGCGCTCTTTCCTGTCCCCAGAGCATGTTAAGCCATCCTCCCTCCCTTCCATCTCTGTCTAATGTTCCTCTGAAATTTTGCTGGTGGAAAACTCGGCATCACTGGCCACATCCCAACAAAGCTGCATACTTCACACACTCCTTTCTCCTTGATTTCCTATCCAGTTCCACTCTTTGCATCTGATTTTCTGTCTGTTTTCAGAGGGCGACCCAGCGTTTCTCAGGGATTTTTGAATTTCTAAACAGGATTAGGCTTCCCTGTTTTCATATTAACCCCAGAGATGCAAATCAATGCCCTCTGTTTAAGAATCTGTCAATGAAAAGGATAATGAACCGACCCTAAGGGTCATCCAGGTCACATAGAACACCCACTGATTTATTTAGGTAAGGTTTTGGACTCTGCCCCTCTCTTGGGAGATCTTACCCTGTGTAGGGTTCTGTTGCAGAGTGTAGCAACTTTGATGAAACACCAAGCTAAACCTTTCTCAAATAATACAGGAGTCGGAGTAGAGTTGACCTTTTACTCTCAGAACCGTCATTTGACAAGCGGTGAAAAGACGTTGCCTGAACAATGTTCCCAAGTGGATAGATGTGAACCAGCCTCAGAGCATGACCACATGTCACTCTCCCTCTCAGAGCAACCAGGAAGAGCGAGTAAAAAGGAAATGAACCAATACAGGTAACCCGGCAGGAAGTGAGGTTATAAGTTCACTTTCAAAATAAAATCTTCCATTTAACATTTTAAACCCATTCACTGTTCTTTATAACTTACATACATATAAATGAATTACTGTAAATGAAACACAAAGATAAATGCCTTTTGAGGCATCACACCTCGGCTTTCCACTGGATGCGTAAGCAGTGTGTATGCTAATAGATGCATGTTACCCACGAGCTTTCTCCCCAACGAGAGCATTTCAGATGGGGATCAGCAGCAAATGCATTCCACGCAGCTCGTCCCACAAGGTCACGTAATGACTGGGGAATTGTACAACCACGCGGATTTTGGCAGTTCACGTGCTAACAAGCACGGAGAAAGAAAATGAAAAAAGAAAAAAAGCTCTGAGTTTTATTTTTCTGTTCTGTTTAACTTAACTGCAGATGTTTCACAGGCAATGATGTACAGTTTTTACTAGTTAAGCAACTGGAAACCTGCAATCATTCACCCATGCACACACATTCACATACTGGTGGTGATGAGGTGGCACAGGAGTTAAGTGCTCGCCCCATAATCGGAAGGTTTCAAGTTCAAATCCCGCTCAGTTTGTCACTGTCATTGTGTCCTTGGGCAAGACACTTAATCCGCCTTGCCTGCTGTTGGTAGTCGGAGGGACCGGTGGCGCCAGTGCTCGGCAGCCTCGCCTCTGTGCCCCAAGACAGCTGTGGCTACATCGCTCATCCCCACCAGCGTGTGAATGGGTGAATGACTGATTGTGTTGTAAAGCACCCTGGGAGGTTCCAGACTGTATAAGGCACTATATCAAATATAGGCCATTTACCATGAGCTACCCTGGGGCCCTGGGGCAAAGCTGGTGAGCACTGATGTTGGGTTGAGTTATTCAAACAAATTTATTTATTTATTTATTTATTCATTCTTTATTTAACCTGGAAGGTCCCACTAAGATTAAAACCCTAAATTTCAAGGGAGTCCTGGCCAAGAGGCAGCAAAAGTTACAATTACACATTTTTCAGCTCCACAGACATGTTATGTGCTAAATTACAGGAGGCAGTTACAACACAGGGAATCCGTCTCAAGGGCTCTCAGTCTGGTTTTAAATGTATTCAAGGAGATAAACTCGGTTAATTTCCAGTTTTCCTGCAGCCTGTTCCATGCAGAAGGAGCAAAGTGAACAAAAACCCTTTTACCCAGATCTGGAGAACCAAAGATAACTAATGACCTG